ATTGTTTGCATCCTAGTATCAAGCGAAATATTTTATTGAAAAGAAAACGATTAACTTTTGTGCAACATTTTAACCGACAAAATACATCATAAACGAACTAGAATTCTCTTGGTGCAATGTAGATAATATGTCCATAGACAAAAATAACAAACTGAATTTACTAGACAAGTTCCACATGATTTATCAAGCTGTCAGTTTTACAATGAAACGAAAAAACAATGATAGCATTCCTTTCTTAGCTATTATTTATTAAATGATTGCATAAAACGACAAAAAGAGGTGGGTATCAAAGACCAACAGCTTTACGCCAACGTACTCATTTTGATCTTTATCCTATTATAATAATTTGTTTATAGCTCTAGAGGTATCTGTAATGAAGAGACAATTTAGGAAGGACTTAAAACTATTCATGCGCTGTGGTGTAAAAATAAATATTGATAAAACTTCCTAACAAACGACTCTAAAGAAAAAGCCTAAATGAATTTATAAACAGCTCAAAAAAGCCTTTGTTTCTTTAATTGTAGTATAAAGGTAACATAATGAAAATCGTTACACGTTGTTTAGGATATTCACTGACAACATTCCATGTTCCCAGATTAGTTCATTCATTCCTCAGCCAACGAATATTAATTTTTCAAATAGAGATATGGGGATAAGGATGGCAAGCTCCTCAACTCTGATGTATACTAGTCAATTCATCTGGTTCTGTTGACCCACTTATGTTGGGCGTGCAATGAGGTGAAACCGATGTTAGAGAAGCATTGCACAACTGGACAAACAGGATTACAAAGGTTCAACTCAGTCATCCTACGAGATACCGACAAACTCAACGAATTCAAGATAACTCTCAACAACAGGTTACAAACCTTACATGATCCACTGAAGGAAGAAGAAGTTACCATGGAGGACAACTGCAAAGGGATAAAAGAAGCACTTACATCAACGTATCAGGAGGTGCTGGGCCGCAAGAAGCATTATCACAACGAAGTGATCTCTATCGAAACCGTGCACAAAATTCAAGAGAGGAACAACAAGAAGACAGCATTTAACAACAGCCGAACAAAAACAGAGAATCTCAAGGCACAAGTTGAATACACTGAAGCGAACAAGAAAGTGAAGAAGAGTGTTAGAGCCGACAAACAGGAATACGTGGAAGAGCTAGCAAAGGCAGTGGAAAAAGCTGAAACAGAAGGAAATGCGAAACACTTATATGACACAACGAAGAAACTTGCACGGAAATATTGTAAAGCAGAGTGACCAGTCAAGAGTGAAGAAGACACATCAATCACTGAGATTCAAGGACAGTGTAACAAGTGGATAGACAACTTTGGAGAACTCTTGAATAGGTCAACCCCACTGAACCCAACGAAAATCGAGGCACCACACACAAAAACAATTTTCTATATATGTCACTCCATCAACAACCGAAGAAATCAGTATGGCCATAGGACAAATGAAGATTGGCAAAGCAGTTGGACCTGACAATATACCAGCTGAAGATCTGAAGTCAGACATAGAGGTAACGGCAAGCATACTCCACGTTCTATTCAGGAAGGTTTGAGAGGAGGAACAAGTGACACTAACAAACTGGAGAGAAGGACAACTCATCAAGATACCAGAGAAAGGAGATCTGAACAAATGTGAAGACCACATAGGCGTCACACTACTGTTAGTACCAGGAAAAGTATTCAACAGTGTTTCTGAACCGTAAGCATCGATCGTGCACAGACCAAATCGCGACACTATGGATCATTGTTGGGCAATCAACTGAATGGAACGCGTCACTATATATCAACATCTCTGACTATGAAAAAACGTTTGACAATGAGGATAGGAGAAGCTTAAGAACGTTCTTCGACACTATGGTATACATGAGAAGATTGTCAACATCATACGGGATTCGTACGATCGACTACATTGCAAAGTTGTGCATGGAGGACAGCTGACAGATGCATTGCAAGTGATAACCAGATTCAGACAAGATTGCTTACTCTCCACCTTCCTCTTTCCTTTGGTGTTTGACTGAATTATGAAGACCTCCACATCTGAGGGAAAACACGGAGTGCAATGGACATCTTACATGCAGCTAGACGATTTGGACTTTGTAGATGACCTGGACCTTCTATTCCATACACACGAACACGTAGCTTTTAGAATTGGGGGCAGACATGAAAATAATCAATAACATTTAGAAACAACTGAGAAAGATAGCCCAGGACAGTGGATTAGAGAATCCTGGTCAGCAGCCTATGCTCCCACGAGGGGTAACAGGATTAAGTAAGTAAGCTTTTCATGTTTAATTGTGAAAATAAATATTCCTATTGAACCATGATGAGAAGCTAGTTGAAAAGCTACACTCCTCAACTCAAATTATGTTTTTAGAATCCAACTTATGCTTCACCAATTACATGGCAGAAAATTGAAGTTATCCTAATAACAAAGTGATTATCTGAGAGATCTGAATTAAGGATTTGTCTGATACCATGATTTCTAATTCCTTGAGCTAGAGTGGAAGTTGCGCTTAAAATGTTACCGAAAATGTTGTTTTAAAGTGTCTCTAGTCCCCTGATTTATCACAGCGTTTAGAACCCGATGACATTTCTAGCTTTCTTCTCAAGTAGCATAATAGTATCCTATGTTACCTATTTGACAATTTTTTTTCGACTAGTTTTACCCAGAATAAGTGAAAGAAATTTAAAGTAGTTCCAATTCGTTGAATGATCTTTTCGAATAGTCTTATACTCATTACCTATATATGTCAAAATGTTAGAATTCTGCTAGAAATTGTTGACTTTTCGCTTCTGAGATGTCAAATGTAATTTATCTTTGTGAAACTTCCTCTTCCGATCTCTCTTAATCTTTTCATAATTTGTCAGCGCCGACGAATTTTTCGTCTAAATTACTATATAAAGAGTCCACGTGTTTGGGATTATCCACTTTATGTTCTTGGGATTTGCAAACTTCATGCTAAACTTTATGCCATTACTCACTGATTTTCCTGAACATCTGATTCAGGATTTTACACTTGCATGAAACGTTGAATTTAAAATCTATACCTTCACCTTTTCTTAAAACAATGGAAAAACTATTGCTACCTCTACTTTGATCTGCACTAAAAGAGCACATTGACTCATACCAGTTTGGTGACAAATGCAAAAGAAGCACCTTAGATACTATTGTTATTCTGAATCATAATATTGTGTTGAGCTTGGAAAAGAGTAAGAAGTATGTTCAATTAGTATTTCTAGACCATAATTCTGCCTTTGACTCTATTCCAAGACAGTTACTACTTGACATACTTATCAGTGTCAACAGACAGCTAGATAAACAACTAGCTGTGTTCCTACCTCTCTGGAAGAGAGTGGTACACTGTGTTTAGAAGAAAGTATTCAGAGTTTCTACTGACTTATGGTGTGCCACAAGAAATTGTTCTTTCCTCTTTTTTGCATGATCTGCCATCTTTCACAGAAAACGCGTTTGTCAAATATGCAGAAAATCTCACTATATTTATACCGATTTCTACCTCTTCAAATCCCTCTTGAAATGTATGTGTTCTTGCCTTTTAATGACCAATGGTCTGTTGTTAATCGCCTCACACTTTAACCTGAGACATAAACAGCACTTAAACATCCTGCTGAAATCCCATAAATATTGTATTACTAGAGGTCCTTTAATAAAAACAGTGCCAAAGGTTATTTATTTCAGTATAAGTTTTTCCTCTGATCTCTCTTGTTCTTCTCATGTTTTATCGTTTAAGAAGTTTTCCGCCTGACTTACCTCATAAACAGGCTACATGCTTTTGACATTACTCAACATTTGCTTTTAAGATTTGTTAATTCATGTATATTGCCTACTATTCTTTACTGTTCTCTATTGTTTTTTTCCCGGGCTTTTGAGAAAAGACTTTGTGGAGAGTTCTGAAGGCAGTTAACAAGGTGTGTGGTGAATCTTTTACAGTCACTATTAATGCGTTTTTGGATAGACATCTAAAGTCTTGCAAACCCTTGGCAGGAGTTATCTTATCAGATACAAACCATCCACTTCATTCATATCTTTCTCCTTGTATATCTTCTGGTAGAACGAGACATCAATACAGTAGAATCCATACAACTAAGCAAAAGCGTAAAAGGTGTACAATACCTTACCTAGCAGATATACTCTATGACGAACAGATTGTTAAAGTTGACCTAGTAAATAACTTGTATTCTTAAACATGTTTCTAATCAAAAAGTTGTACAGATTCAAATCTTTTAAAAAAAAACATTTCATTTAATTATAGGTGGTTAATTTACTTAACTTTCGCATATATGTATACAATTATCAGTTTCTTTCACTTTTTTTTCTTTTTAGAAAAAGAAGCTTGTTAAAATATTTGTACTGAGAATCCCATATTGCACCAAAAACATAATATTGAATTAAACCATTGATAATAATGATAATATTTTTAAGGCAATCAGCGGATATTTCAACATTGTGATAATTACGGTTGTGAGAGGTCATTTGAAATTACCCACACAGTGAGAGTAACAAAAGCTTTGTAATACTGTGTTTACCAAATACAGTGTAACAAAAATGGAGTAAGGGCTGACCTAACCAAAGCCCTTTGTTATTCAACAAATATGTCCACTACTATGAATATTCCAAACCGATTTGATTTACTTTTATGAATTACTTGTTGGACTCCCAACTGAGAATCCTATGCTCTTCCAAATGGTGGTAAGGTACCGAAACAATCATCATTTAGAAAAAGTCGTGAAGTCAATCTTAACGACCACTACCAAAAAATTCTCAAGGATATTTTTTCTGCAATATATGCAGACATACATCTTCGTCCTCATGACACGTCAAAACTAACCAATAGGAATTAAGAAATAACGGTAGGAAAACTAATGCTTTTTTGATTTGTTGTATTGCTTAAATTCATCAAAGGCAGTGGTATAAATACGCCAATCCGAACCACTAATCAGTATGATCATTCATTGTTTGTGTCTTTAGACGTTATGCGCGAAATTGTGCACGTTCAGGCTGGTCAGTGTGGGAACCAGATAGGCGCTAAGGTAATTAAACGTATACATTGCATATGGCTCCCTCTAACTAACCCATCAATTTGTGCCCATTTTAAATTCTCTATTTTATTTCCAGTTCTGGGAAGTAATATCGAACGAGCACGGTATTGACCCTACAGGAACATACCACGGTGATTCCGATCTACAACTTGAACACATAAATGTTTATTTTAATGAGGTCAGTGGAGGAAAGTATGTTTCTTGTGCTCTCTTGGTTGATCTGGAACCTGGTACGATGGAAAGTGTTCGCGCAGGGCCCTTCGGCCGATTGTTCCATCCTGACAATTTCGTATTTGGTCAAAGTGGGGCGGGAAATAACTGGGCCAACGGTCACTATACTGAAGGTGCTGAACTTGTCGACTCAATTTTAGACGTGGTGAGAAAGGAAGCTGGATCTTGTGATGGTCTACAAGGTTTCCAACTAACTCATTCACTTGGCGGTGGCACCGGTTCAGGTATGGGGACGCTGTTAATTTCAAAAATTCGAGAAGAATATCCTGACAGGATTATAAATAAATTCTCTATAGTCCCATCACCCAAAGTAGGTACTTTCAAGCCAAGTTATGTACAGATTGTATTAAGTCGTTATTTGATTGATTTTGACCGTTGTACATACTTTATAAATCAATACGTAAATAGACTGCCCAAGCTGAGAGTCTCATGCTACAAAAGTAATATAACTTGTAGTGTATTGGATAGCTTTAATAAGATAAACTATCTGATGAAATACTTCAAATTTATTTTATAAATAATTGCTTAATAGTATTGGTCATGTAGTAAAATCTAGGGCAGAAGCGTAATCATCAAAAATACAGCCACCATACTTATCATGCATTTCTAAATTGAACACTATTATGAAAACACAACTTCAACAACCGAAGTATCCCCCTAATTCATTTTTGTATTGTTTGTTTGGATCTTCCCATTAATGTTTAGGACTGCAATTGATCAGTCTCTTATTGGCATATATGTATCCTGTACGGATCGCCCCAATATTGCCTTAAGTCGCAAGCATTATAAACAAAGCACCTTTCATTGGTGAGACTTTAGTAGTGTGGTAGTTGTAATAGTTCTCAACAGTGAGTTATTTGAGATTACCTGAAAACAAACCATTGGTTACTTTCCACTGTACTGTGATTTGTTCGAGAACAGGAATGTATCATTTCTGTTTATCTTATGATAGTAGTCGTTCAGTTCATTACGTGTGGCTTCTAGGGTTTTGTTTCGGCAGAAACAATCGTAATTTCACGCGGCTAACTTCCAAGATATAATCATGACATCAGTCTAGAGAACTGTATGTATTGTGTAGTGTCAGTTATTATCTTAAGCCCATATACCTTATTCTCGTTTTCGGACAAACCAATCTATTCATTCTACTTGAGTCATATTTTGACCTTGTTAGTTATTCGCTTACCAGTCTTCATTGTTTTTATATGAGCGCATATGTGTGTACACTTCCCATTCCATTCATCACATGTCTGTAGCTTATTTTTGTCTGCCTATAAATATTGATTAACGCCTGACTAAAAATGAGTTGGCTTACCAGCCATCTCCACTCTGCGTCGTTTCTCTTCCTTCCATTCCATTCATCTCATATACAAAATATATGTATCCAAAATCCCATTCTCGTTATTTGACTCATTTAATTCCGTTATTGGCTAACGTGATTTAAGTCGACGATTATATACGAGAATAGGCGATAACAAACATTCGTACGATCTAAAATGGAGTCAGATCCACGGGCCACTAAAATTGCGATAAATAAGATGGGAAATAACTTCACCTTGTTTCATTTTTTTAGGTCTCTGATGCTGTTGTCGAGCCATACAATGCTACACTGTCTGTACATCAACTTGTTGAGAACACTGATGGAACGTTCTGCATCGACAACGAAGCACTCTATGACATCTGTTTCAGTCAGTCAGTCAGTCAGCTACAACGTAGGACCAGGCACATGTATGCATCGGCCCAGGTTGCCATACCTCATTAGCACAGCAAGATGAACACCGGATTCATAGGAGTGGTTAGGTCAAAGGTGGTAATATATAGGAGAAAGATTGCAATAAGGATATAGTATAGGAAGAAAGAATTAGTTCGTAGAAAGAAAGATGTGAAGTGATCTTAATCTCTTAGTTTAAGAGAAGACAGAGAGTGTATACACCGACGCCATTGTGATCGATTCTGAGCCATGTCACCAAGGGTCTCCAACCATTGGTTACGAAAGTCACGCGGACCCCAACCAAGTAGTCTGCATCTACCAACATGGCTCAGACTAGAAGTTAGTGACTTCAGGCACTGATGCCACGTTTTGGTTTGGCCGCCCCTAACTTTCTTCCAACCATCCCCTACACCGGTTAGCATTGCACGTCGTGGTAATCGGTGTTCAGGCATACGTAATACGTGGCCCAACCATCTCAGTCGATGAAGATTCATAACCTCATCAACTGATTTACCATCATTCCCTAATACCCTGCGTCTAACCTCACTATTACTTACCCGGTGATCCCAGCAGATGCCAGCAATATTTCTAAGGCATCTGTGGTCAAATACTAGTAGCTTACGGGTGTCTTCTACTCTTAAGGGCCATGTTTCGCTGCCGTAAATTAAAACAGAACGGACTGCCGCGCAGTATACTCGTCCTTTTATTGATAGACGGATATCTCGCCTCCGCCAAAGGTGACGTAAGTTGGCAAAAGCCAAACGAGCTTTACGAATCCGTGCTGAGATTTCGTCAGACACCAACCCATTAGGGCTGATCAGACTTCCAAGATAAGTGAAGTTGTCAACTCGTTCGACTACTTCACTCCCTATCCTTAGTTCAGGTGTTGACGCAGACCAGTCCTGAAGCAACAACTTGCATTTAGAGGGAGAGAAGCGCATCCCAAACATTCTGGCATTGTTGCTTAGTGCTACCAGAAGACTCTGCATTTTGTCAGCGTCTTCACCAAACAGGACTATGTCATCTGCATATTCTAAGTCGATAAGTGGACCTCCTGGAAGGAGATCAATACCCGAGAATTCAGTCGACGAGAGTGTTATTTCCATCAATAGGTCTATGATGAAGTTAAACAAAAATGGAGAAAGTGGGCAGCCTTGACGGACACCACTTGAGGTTGTAAAAGTAGATGACAGTTCGCCATAAGCCCTGACTCGACTAGTAGTGTTCGAGTAAAGAGCCTTCACAAGGTTTATGTACTTCTGAGGTACGCCTTTCAATGACAGACACTGCCACAGAGTCTCGCGGTCTACAGAGTCAAATGCTGCTTTTAAGTCAAGAAAGACCACCATCGTCGGACGCCGATAGGTATGCCTGTGTTCTAGAACCTGACGAATGGTGAATATGTGGTCGATGCAGCCACGACCAGGTCTAAAGCCAGCTTGGTTCTCTCGTGTTTGTAGTTCACGAGTCTTAGTTAGGCGTTTGATAATTATCGAGGCCAGTATTTTAGATACTATGTTTGTTAAACTAATCCCTCTGTGGTTGTCACAGGATGATTTTGACCCTTTCTTATATATTGGGACGATAAGTGATTGCGACCAGTCAGATGGGATAACGTCTAACTCCCAGATTTTAGCTAAAATATTAGTCAACCTAGTCGCTAAAATTGGACCACCATCCTTAAAGACTTCTGGAGCCAGTCCATCTGGACCAGCTGCCCTTCCTCGTTTCAGATTAACTATAGCCTTCTCAACTTCAGCAAGAGTTGGGGGACCTACTTCAATGTTCCATTCACTTTGTCTGGGAATGGAGGGTAGTTGTAGAGTAGCTGAAGGCCAGCTGAACTGTTCTCTAAAATGTTCCGCCCATCGTTCTAAACGTCTGGACTGGGAGCAGATGAGAGTATCATCTTTTTCCGAAATAATCTCACTTACACTTGACTTATTAATTCCAGTTTCTTTTATTAGTCTGTAAAGCTGTCTTGTGTTCCCTATAGTCGCCGCCTTTTCCATCTCTTTTGCTTTCGTTACCCACCACTGCTCACGGTCGTTCCTTAGACTTTTTCTTAACCTAGATCTGATTTGTTTACGCTCTTCATCATGTTCAGAACCTGATGGGACGAGTTTGCGAGAATCCATCAGTGTGACAGACCTTGAAGAAATCCACTGGTTCCTTGTAACTCTGTGGTTTAAGTCACTAACAGATGTCACTGCTGTTTCCACAGCTGCTTGTATGTCCTTCCAAGCAACATCTGGGTCAGCCTCGTCTTCACAACTACCTAAGTGTGACCTCAGTTGTTCCTGGAACCTACTTTTGGTTTTCTCGTTACTCAACTCAGTTCTAATGGGTCTTTTTAATGTGGCTTTTTTGCGTCCAGTGAGGCGCAAGCAGATGCGTGCCCGTATTAGGGCATGGTCGGAGTCCAAGCAGGTGCTCCAGAATGAACGACAATCTTCTACCGACCCTCTCCAACGATGACTGATGGCAATATGGTCTATTTGAGTCCATCGTTGGTTTGGTGTAGGGGGTCGCCATGTTAGACGATGTCTCTCCTTATGCTTAAAATTTGTGTTTGCTAAAAATAAACGATTGTCTGAGCATAGCTGCAGCAGACGATCACCATTATCTGTTCGCTGTGTCGGAATACTAAAATATCCACCTAAATGCCTTTCTGTTTGGTTTAAACTGCCTATCTGAGCATTAAAATCACCTGCTACGAGTACTATGTCTGAGCGTTTAGCTTTCTGAAGAAGTTCGGATAGCTTTCTGTAAAATTCATCTTTCACTTCATCTGAGCTGCAGTCAGTGGGAGCGTAGGCAGAAACGACAAAAAGGCAACGACGTGTGTCCCTATCCTTCCGAGTTCTTACGTAGCCGTTCAGCCGAACAGCACATAGACGACTGTTGACGGGGATCCACTCTAGCAGTGCTTGTTCGGCCCTTATGCTTAGTGCTATGCCTACACCTGCCAGTCCACGAGAACTTGCCATCGGGTCACCGGACACACGAAGGGTGTATCTCGTTACATTTGTTTCAGAACACTCAAGTTAACCAACCCCACTTATGGAGATCTCAATCACTTGGTCAGTGCAACCATGTCTGGCGTGACCACCTGCCTCAGATTCCCTGGACAACTGAATGCTGACCTGCGGAAACTGACAGTGAATATGGTCCCGTTCCCTCGACTGCATTTCTTCATGCCAGGATTCGCTCCACTGACAAGTCGTGGCAGTCAACAGTATCGCTCATTAACTGTGCCTGAACTGACACAACAAATGTTCGATGCAAAGAATATGATGGCTGCCTGCGATCCTCGTCATGGTCGTTACTTGACAGTGGCGGCGATCTTCCGTGGTCGTATGTCTATGAAGGAGGTGGATGAGCAGATGTTGAATGTGCAGAATAAGAATTCGAGTTATTTTGTCGAGTGGATTCCGAATAATGTGAAGACGGCAGTATGTGACATTCCTCCTCGTGGTTTGAAGATGTCGGTGACTTTTATTGGTAACAGTACGGCTATTCAATGACCGAGAAGCCTGGTGGTTGAAGCGTGCTAATGAGCTGGAAGCAGCAGCTGCATCTGGTAACTACCGGAAGCTCTTCCAACTCATCCGAGCCACTGGCAGCAAGAAGTCTGGTGTGAGTGAAGCAATCTGCCAGGATGATGGGATGCCAATCACTAACATCCATCGACGTCTTGGACGATGGGCAGAATCTTTCGAAGGGCAGTTCAACTGGCCTGCTGCTCCGGCAACATCGGTCAGACTGTCCTGCCCTCCATGGCCGGTGACGACTGATCCACCAAACGAGGAGGAAGTCTGCAAGGAACTCTAACTCTTGAGGCGTTACAAATCACCTGGCCCAGATGACTTACCTCCGGCTCTTTTTAAAGATGGTGGTGACTTTTTGACTAAGGAACTGACAACGTTTTTTACAAAGGTTTGGGAACTAGAGAGTATACCAATGTCATGGAATGAGTCGATAATTATCCCAATCCTTAAAAAAGGTTCACAACGTTCCTGTAACAACTATCGGGGGTATAAGTCTACTTCCGATTGCGTCCAAACTATTGGCTTCTGTCATACTTCGTAGGTTGTTCAAAACCCGAGAAAGATTGACTCGCGAGGAGCAGTCTGGGTTTCGTTCTGGTCGAGGATGTATTGATCATATCTTCACCCTCCGCCAAATGTTAGAACACCACGATACTTATCAAAGGCCAACAATCGTAGTGTTTCTTGACATCAGGGCTCCCTTCGATTCGTTGGATAGGACTGTTCTCTGGGATTGTCTTTTGAAGAAGGGTGTGCCTGAGAAGTTTATCAACATCCTAAAGGCCCTATATGCAAACACCACAGGCAGAGTGAGGGCATACAACCACCTCTCTCCATTGCTCCATTCGAGCAGTAGGGTTAGTGTGGGTTGCCCAATCTCACCATTCCTCTTCAACTTTGCCATCGATGACACTCTGGAAACAGCTCTGATGGATGTAAGTAATGGCGGTGTGGATCTGTTGCCTGGAGAAAGACTTCGACCTTGAGTATACGGATGATATTGTCTTACTGTGTGATGATGCCCAAACCATGCATTCCGCACTTAATTAGTTGGCAATCAGTGTCCATAGGTACGGTATGTGCTTCTCACCTTCTAGACTTGCAGGACCCAGACCCTGTACTCACCCTGGATGGTGAGCAGATAGAAGTAGTCGAAAAGTTCGTGTATCTAGGTAGCTGCATAAGTGCTGGTGGTGGCGTGAGTGATGAGACCAATGCACGTATAGTGAAAGCCAGAGCGACTTATGCCAATCTGGGCCATCTTTGGCGCCTTCGTGATGTTAGTCTGGCTGTAAAAGGTCGGATCTACAACGCGTCGGTGAGAGCAGTTCTGCTCTATGCTTGTGAAACCTGGCCTCTCCGAGTTGAGGATGTTAGACGACTCTCTGTGTTCGATCATCGCTGTCTCCGAAGGATTGCTGACAGCCAGTTGCAACACCATGTTAGTAATGCAGAGGTTCGGCATCGTGTGTTCGGGCACAGAGATGATAATGCAATCGATGTCACCATCATGAAACACCGACTTCGATGGCTTGTACATGTTCTCCGAATGTCGTCCCAGAGAATTCCACGTCGTGCATCATCTGCCGACTCTGGGACTGGTTGGAAGAAGCGGAGACGTGGTCAGTGCATGACATGGTGTCGTGGTATGAAAGAAAACTGCAAAGGACTGGCTTGTGTCGGTCCTTCACGACTCCCTGGTTGGGGTCTGAGAGATGGTGCTACACAGTGGCTAGAGACGTTATCAATTATGGCTCAGAATAGAAGCCAGTGGCGATCCTGCTGTAACCTTCTTTTACTTTCTTCATAAAAAGTGGTTGTGCTTCCCTTACCTGAAAGGTTTCTTCCGATTGTACCTTCCCGTTCCCTCATTACTACCACACTACCTTACACCAATCTCCTCGTTATTGTTCTTTTTTTGGCACTCAGTTTTTTTCTATTTCTCTTCGAATTCTCATTGTTTTGTGTGGCGCATATATATATATATATATATATATATATATATATATATATATATATATATATATATTCAAGAGTTGTTTAAGCGTGTTTCTGAACAGTTTACTGCAATGTTCCATCGTAAAGCGTTTTTACATTGGTATACAGGTGAAGGGATGGATGAGATGGAATTTACCAAGGCTGAATCAAATATGAATGATTTGGTAAGTGAATATCAGCAGTGTCAAGATGCCACTGCCAACGATGAAGAAAATGTTTGAGGAAGCCTAAATTGTATCTTGCTCCTCATATGTTTCTTTGCGCATTTTCATTTTTCTTAATACAGTAATTGAATTAGATTTAATGTTTTCACTTTCAATTCCTGTAATTTATTGGAGTTCTTTGCGTACATTCGGCGTTTTTTGTGGTGGGCGTCGAGATGACTAGAAGCTGGATGACAGTAATACCCCTGATTTAGTTTGGTTTACTTTCATATTATCTAATAGCTGGAAGTTCTGATGCACTAAGTTAGTTGAATTTTAACAAACGAATGTTTAACGATGCAAAATAAAGATAAATACAAAGATGTACTAGCCCATAGTTGCATATCCAATAACTTTTCCCAGCCTGTTTATATGGGCAGGGGTGGGTGACCGTCATTCTTTTGCATGCTCATCCGAACTCTGGTTAGCTGTATGTTTGCTTACTAAGATCTTGTCGGATTGCTATTTTGCCTGCTGGTTCTTGTATCAGTTTCTTATATTTTTTTGACTGGGTAGTTTGAGCACTCCGTTTCCTGGCTATTGTCCTACGGATATTTTGTGTAATTGAACTTTGGAAGATCCACACCCAGACTTTTACCGTTCTGGAAGATTCACTTTGGACACAACCGTTTACTTATCCATGGTTTCTTGTTTTCTGTATTAAGTTGTAGGTTTTCGAATTGATTGATAACTTTTAATATTTATCTTATTGTTCCTTCATCTTCTGAATATCCGTTATTTTGAGGGCCTGACATATTTGACGTTTTTCCAGAAGTTTAACCGACTAAAAGTAGACCGTTTGATTGTCCGAAACAATAGATGGGGATTTTTGTAGTGTGATGTTACGATAGTTGCTTGTTCAACGACGTGGAACGTTCCTATGAAGTGGCCCATTAAAGTTTGTGTGAACACCGAAGGTTCTGTTCATGTGATATGTACTCCCTATACAGACAGATGTATGTACTAAGAACTCGGGGTAGGATTCTTATTGACAGGAAAACATAAGAGGAGAAAAGAAAAAGCAGTGCGAGTAGCAACAGTAATTGAAGAACGATTAAGCTTGTAAGATACAACTCAAGGAAGATGTGCAAATGATGTATTCAGTGTATTGTCGTCATATCTTACAGATGCGGTGTGTGGTTTTACTTAATATAGTATGTTGATTTACTCTACCTGAGTCTTTGTTCATCACACTAGTACTGGCCATATCTGTAGCTTTGCTTTTATGGATGATTTCGATGACTTCTCTTCACCATATCCTCAATATTTGGGCAATGTAAGCTTCCACAGGCGATTAATTTCAGCACTAGGACATGAGAAATGCACCTATACTTGTTTCGAAAATCAGAGTCCAGTACAGTAATTAACCATTTTTCGAGACGACTAGCTGCACAAACTGGAAAGCTTTTCTTAAATTCTAAAATTAACAAATAGGCTTATGGGCAGGAAGTAGTGTAAACAGTTGGAACTTGTTAATCGCCAAAAACCAGGAGACTTCAATTCTTTTGAAATTGCATTCAGAGTGTGTAGGTGTCCGCGTTGCGTAACAGATCACTTCTTCACAATCGTCGAGAAAAACATGAAGTGGCTGCTCTGATACTACGGTTTGATTTATTAACATCTACAGGAATTTCCAGCTGAGTTTCCTAATGGTATACTCAAAAGATATGTATGAATATCAATAAAGAGGTCTGATCCTACAATTTGTTTGTTTTTTTCATCCAAGTTGGTACGTAAGAACATAGACATTCTGTGGTGTGATACTTATATCGGCATAAGTAGTATATAAAGGGATATGGATATACATAGAAGTTATACGACTACATATATATAAAACCAAATAGAATGATTATTCAACACATGTATATGAAATACTTATTCTCGATATCTTAATGAATAATTCAGATTAAGACAATATTTAGTTAAGTGAAACCTGGTCAATTTATCAAACGGCCATATGGCAAAAGGCTTTTTACCACAAACAAATAAGATGTTACAAATTTCAAGTGTCCGGTCAAGGTCACTTAGACTTGAAATATCCAAGTATTTACCGTTCTTATAAAATACATAGCACACGTCTGTGGTCGACGTAATTCTCACTTTTTCAAATGCCAAAAGAGTGAAACTTGCTGCTTCCTAGATCACTGATGCCGTGGGACATTTTCAATTCAGAGATTTCAGAACAAGATTAGTTGTGTTACACCTTAAATTTCGAAGAGGTATAAAAAGACAAACTGATAAAACTATTCAGAAGTAAAACAAACTGCAAACCTCTGCATTGCGTTTTGCATATCCTACTTGTGATTGGGAAGTAATGAAAAATGAGTAAAATTGTAATAAAATGGTGAGCGTCTGAGATGTATACGTGATTCACCAAGATCGTTTATAGTGTAACTAATTTGGCAACCAAATGCCAGTGACGTTGAACCAACAGTACATTATCTTGAAACTAATTTCTAAAATATATCAGGGATTCCTTCGTTTCTAGAGAAGTATCCCCTTAGAAAGCGTTAGGAATTCTGTGGTTATTGATAAAACACAAATTTATTATTACGCAATGATGAAATATTTTGATTTCCCATCAAGAAGCAGACATTACTCATGATGATATTGACCTGCTTCCGTCGAGTTACATCTCAGGTGTTAACAACCGGAAACAGAGACTTTCTTCACATAAAAAATGAAACTCAGTAATTAATAGAAAGGCATGTGAAAAAATCTTAGTTTAAAAACTAGGTGTTTACTGTACTAGAAGTTAATATAATTAATTCACGTCACTAACAACTGGTGTGACACTTAAAGTACAAACCTAGTTAAACAAAATTCAGAGAACTGCAACATAGCTTATTGACATTCCAACACAACATTAACAAAGAACCAGGTGTTAGGAGAAAGAATGAAAGTATCCAAGTAAAATGATAGTTGCGAAAGGAAATCTCAAAATTGATATTAATGATTCAGACGACTTAAACGTTTTGATAATCACTTGGAATTAATCATACAGAAAAAATTTACGTAAATTTTTAACGAGTTTAAAGTATAAATAAATCCAAAGTAAGATATAATAGTCAAAAACATTATGCTTAGAACGCATTTTAAGCGTGGAATAGTTTTCCAACAAAACATCATATTCATGTCATAAAATATTGATATAAGAGTCAATTTTGGTACGATGACGTTGAGAAACGCATTCCGCAATCCAAACAATGTTTCTCATTTCTTGTTCCTTTAATTTAAGAAGGGCATAGAATATACCATAATGAAACTGCTGTAAGAAGGCGTCTACATTTAATTGGACCTAAAATGGATTAGTTAATTACGAAATTTTGTTACTAAACAAATTAGTAAACAGAAAAAAAGTGAACTTTAAGTTTGTAAAGTCGTGTGAAAGTTTGTTGGTTTGATCATTTAGCCAGATCAGCTGCATAAAATAGTACAAAGGTTTTTATCAATTTAGTTGTCCTTTACCACAATTTGAGGTGCCATTAATGGACTCATACACAAACGTCACATCCAATTTTGTTTCCATCTTTTAGAATGAAAATCCTAGACCATGTTGATGACACTGAACATTTTCCGATAATCCGATTGGTTGATGAGTAACTTCTCTCTCTCTCTCTCCCTATATATATATATATATATATATATATATATATATATATATATATATATATATATATATATATATATATATAATTATTATTATTATCATCAAACACGCATTGTCACTGATTTATCCAGATTAAGTGGCAATTTTAGTTATATATTGAATTCTATTGGTTTACTTTTCTGTTGACACTAGTAGCCAATAAAAATCGGAGAAAAATGATTATATAATACGTTGGTTAACATTATTATGCCATATCCAATGTCCACGTATGACCTGGTCTTACGGCTTTGGAGGATGGGAGTTGTCATTAACGTTTTCCTCACAAGACAATGCTTGCTGTGAAAAATAAAACCAATAGCACACTAGATGATTATTCTGTAATTTTCCCCATAAAATATATATTGCTTCGATTTCTTTTATTTAACTTTTTTGAAATGATAATTAATACACAATATTTCCTTTGGTGGCATCAAAAATGTACTGAATAAATTTCAATTCTAAAGCATAGACCTCTTTTAGCTATGAAATACAAACACAAGAAGGATGTTACATACGTCTACTAGAATATTTCCGCGAGTGAATTTCTTGTAGTTATTTTCGAGATTAATTGGTGATTGTGCTTCGGTGCTTGGAGCGTTTAAAGGAACAGCCTACAGTAGGTAAACAAAACATACCCATCTATTTCTAGTTGCGCAGCTGAAGTTCTACATTCTGATTTATGAATTATTTAAAACAGCTGAGATAATAACGAATTGTGAATACAAAATGGTAACTAATTTTCTACTATTTCGATATATGTCTTCTGAATTATCGTCCATGCACAGTTAATATGAGAAACATACAATTATGGGGGTAATTACATGTAGCCTCAGTCCCATAAATGAACCTGTTTAAATATGTGAATATTCTAGAGTGGAAAATTAGGGGACACAACCCAGTTTATTCCTTCTTGCTATACAGACTAAAATATGCCTAAGCTAAATAAACTGCGAGGAAACAAGGAAAACCGATATAAATGAACATATCTTACTTCATATTCAAAGAATTTATCTTCTAATGTCTTATCTCCAAAGCCCTCGCCAGTTTCTTCAAACAAGGAGGAATAGTTCTGAAAAACAAGCACAAGTGGGAACGTCGCTCATAAAAGTTCAGTGGAAAAATTGTTTTGAAATAAAAGATACTACTGAGGCAACAAGTGATGATAGTAAAATAATTTTATATGATTGGATGTATTTGAAGACACGCATTCGAGAGCTTTGTATAACCGTGTAATTATCTGAATGCTGGTTTTGGCATAGCAGCAAATGAAATCAATTTCGGTATGATGAGAGCCAGATAGGCTAATATCACCTTTTTAGGCCGTCGCGAATTCAATCTGGTCGGAAAAGCAGGATGTACCATGGGTTGGTTAGTCCTACTTTACGCTTTTGGGAGATGGTGACGATCTTTACGTTCAACCATAGTAGATGCTTTAGAACCGCCCATATCATGTGAGTAATCCCAGAGTCTGACAATTTATTTATAAGTAGTTGAGTTGGTAGTTTGATAAACGTTGCCATCTCGAAGCATTCGATTCAGTGGTTTGTTTACGCTTAACATGTGTCGTCCCATAGCTTTTCACATCATGTGTTAACCCGAAATCGATCATAGTGGTATACTCATTAGCTACCTCTAAATCGTGAGCTGTGTCATGCCATACTTTTCATTGTTTGTTATTTTAGGCCTACCACTGTGATATGTGGTACTGTTTTCCCTGTTTATTATTTCATTAGCTTTCTTCCCTGAAGTGCCGATTCGGAGTGCAGCAACTTGGATGGATACATATTCGTGCTAGGTCCTACTTTCTCTATGGCTTATGGTTCGATATGATGGGAAGAAAAATCAATTTTCGATTGATTTACTAATTGTGATTCTTACTCAGCATTACTTCCGTTTTGATTCAACGTGATGATCATTCAGTGCAGTATTTGTTTTGTTTTCTCGTATGATATTTTATTCTGTATAATATACGATATTTTTGTATTCCATTGACATGAACTATGCTCAGTATGTGATTTGTTATAACTCTAAGTATTTTTCATATATGCGCCTTCATCCTAATTATTAATCAAAATGGGTGTACATTCAATATATAAATGTGTTTTTCGACTAAGGTCGTCGTCGTCGTGTTTGGGGGGTTAATAAAGCTTCATTTATCCCAGTCTTTGTGTTCTTACTTTCGCGTCGTGGGGATTGCAGAGGTCCCTCGTTCGGAGTATAAGTGATAAGCGTTTCCGACATACCAAATAGCGACGACCAGATATAAAAAGTAGCATTAAAAGAACCAAAACAATTAGCATTCAAACGACAAAACAAGCAGCATTCAACTGACAAGTTATAACATGGTTAAATTGAACAGAAGTGATGTTTAGTTTGTGACAGTAAAGACGTGAGATGAAGGGTAGGTTTGTAGCGTACAATTAAGAATATGTTTTAAAGATTAACTATAAAACGAGTCTAAACAATTAATATCATGAAATATAAATACTTTTGAAGGATAAAATTAAGCATAATAACTAGTCAGTGCATGCTCTATAATAAAAAGCTTTGATCGTGATTTGTTGAAAACTCGAGATGTGACCTTTCCTGTATTATATGAGAACGAGTAAGGTTATCATAATTAGATTCTTGGAAAGTAATTCCGACTAAAAAATCTTAAACAGCCGCTATAAAGTTTAAATCACGCATGATGTCATGATTTCAAGAACTGATGAATACTGTATTTCACATTGATATTTTTTGGATTCAAGGGACACTCGTAGAAGTGATCTATCCTTCTATAATCCAACGTAATCTTTTGGTATATCAGCAGCCAAATACTAATTTATAACTATTCACTTCCCTTGAAACCAATCTCTGCCCATTTGGAGCACTCGCAGTTAGCATGTTCAAATATCTAGTGCCGACCATTTTAAAGTTGTATAATACACTTGAATTCTATACAGGTACTGGAAGTCAGTACACATAAGTGGCTAAGAACCACGTACCTTGATGAATATAGTTCAACAATTTAGTCAACTAATAGTTGTGAAAGAGATTTGTAACCAGACCCTGTTATAACTTACAAAGCTCAGCACATGCTTATTGCTGTGTTTTAAACCAATCCCTTTTCTACTCTGAAGTGATAACTGAGTTCGTTCGTCTTGATGACAACAATATCTATAAAGTGAACCAAAAGTACTTATTACCTTGAACTTTCAACAAGACAGAAATGACCAATATCCTACAATTTATTCCCAGTTCCGAAATCGCACCAACTGCTTAGAAAAATCCATAACTATACCTACTAGCAAAATTTGTATTAATAACTAAATCCAGGAAATAAAATTTCAAAAAATATCTTGACAGCTTTATGGTTTATTACGTGAATGAGACATTAACGCCCACTAATCAGAATTTCAGCTCCAACCGTTGCCGCTACATTGACGTGGTGGTCGGGCTTGCCTATCGTGATGAATCAATCGAGCTATACTGGCTGGAACAATTCTTCCTCAAAGTCCTACCATGCCAGACAGGTCGGTAAGATTAAAAGTAGCAAACCCAAGGTCCGGAGGCGAAGTCGTACTACTGACTGTGAAGAGGTGTGACGGTAGTAAGGTGTTTCCTTCAGAAAACCAGCATGACAGCGATACTGCCTTCTCACAAGGAGGGTTGGGGTTAGAAAAGGTCGACCCTAAAAACACACGCCTCGCCTTATCCCACGGATTTCCGTCTCCGGCGGTAAAGTCCCAACAAGCACGGAGCTAACACGAAAATTATTCACAAAAAGGTCGTGTGTGACCGATCCCAAGCAGTTCTTCATTGGGCACTGCGGATACGCTCTCAGGTCACTAAGACCACCCCTAACCCAATTTTCTTTTCAAGTACCTCTGGAAGAACCCTTCCACGGTGTGGACAACAGGGAAGTAATAACCACCCTCACACCTCTAACAGCACTCAAGATCACTGTATTCATAATCAATCTCCCTCTTCAATTAATATTATTCCTCTTACCCAGACTTTCAACCCTAAACTTCCTCCTCAAGTGTCACCACGGCCAAAGATTCTAGTAAGCGAAACACTTTCCCAGGTCTACTGAAACCACGCTCCAAACTACACATCAGAACCCTCAACTTACACACCCAATGTCAAATCGGCCAACAGGCCTTCTTGGCTAAAATCCCAGAATCTCGTACCACTGATGTATGCTGTGTCTCCGAAACACATACACATGATCCTAGTGTGGTCATTCACTTGACCTCACCACGACAAAACGGAGAGCCGACGAGATACACCATTCTTTCATCTGGCGACCAGATGGCTAGTTCTTGTAGACTGGCGGATGTCTACATAGCACTCGAAAGGATAGGGACACATGTCGTTGTCTTTTCGTCGTTTCTGCCTACACTCCCACTGACTGAAGTCCAGATTAGGCGAAAGATGACTTTTACAGAAAGGTTTTTGAACTTTTTCAAAAAGCTAAACACTTAGACATAGTACTCGTATCAGGTGACTTTAATGCCCAAGTAGCTAGCTTAAACCATATAGTGAGACATTTAAGTGGATATTTTAGTATTTCAGCTCAACGAACAGATAATGGTGACCGTCTGTTGCATCTGTGATCAGACAATCGTTCATTTTTACCAAGCACTAATTTTAAGCATAAGGCGAGACACTGTCGAACATGGCGGCGACCCCTTGCACCAAAGTAACGATGGACTCAAACAGACCATATTGTCGTCAGTGATCGTTAGAAGACTCCCGCTCGTTCTGGAGTACATGTTTACGATGTGATCATGCTCTAACATGAACACGCACTTGCCTGCGCCCTAATGGACGCAGAAAAGCCACATTAGGATCAATAAGAGTTGAAAAAGCCAAAGGTAAATTTCAGGAACAAATAAAGTCACACATAGCCTGCTCTCCATCTCGAAATGCTCTCAAGAGGCCACGTGCATACAAACACTGCCAGGGAAGTCCTACTCACTGCCTTCTCGTGGTGGGGTGTTGTTTACGAAATCGAGAAGACGAAAAGTGAATGTCACGCGTTTGAAAAGGGTTGGTGGATACAGAAGATCCACCTAGGGTAGTTGGAAAACCCTGATTCCAAACCAATGATGCTCATGAGCTCCAATGTCCTGAAAGAACAAATGTCGTATGAACCAATTGTTGGTCGTCGACTACTATGGGACTGCATTTCCTTACGTTGCTCCACCGCCTTGTGGATTAAATGTTTAGGTCAAGGGCTCGGAATGTGGCCACCTCAGTAAACCACCTGGTTTGGTTTGAGTACACGGGCAGTATCCCAGCCCTTATACGGTTCGAACGATTTATGTGCCGCATACATATTTGGTCCCCCCTTGTAACAATGTTTCTATGTGGAATCACACAAAGGTAATTTTGAAAACATGGTTGACCCAGATGTTGCTTGCAAATACATACGAACAGCTGTGGAAACAGCAGCGAAATCTATTAGTGATTTAAACCAAACTTTTACGAAAAACCAATGGGTTTCCGCTGCATCTATTGTACTGATAGACTCGCGTAAACTTATCCCATCAGGCTCCGAACATGACGACGAGCGAGAACAAATCAGATATAGATTAATCAAAAGACAAAAGAACGACCATGAGCAGTGGTGGGCAACGAAAGCAAGAGATTATGGAAAGGTTCTGTAGCAGTACCTGTCATTGAAAGGTGTACCTCAGAAGTACGTAAACCTTGTGAGGGTTCTTTACTCGAACACTACCAGCCGAGTCAGAGCTTATGAAGAATTGTCATCGGATTTCATAATCTCAAGTGGTGTCCAACAAGGCTGTCCACTATCACCATTTTTGCTCAATTTCATCATAGACTGAATTTTCGGAAATCGACCAACCAGGTCCCCTTATTGACTTAGAAGACTCAGATAACATGCAGAGTCTTTTGATAGCACTGAGCAACAGTGTCAGGGTGTTTAGAATGCGTTTCTCCCCCTCTAAATACAAGTTGTTACTTTAGAACCCACTTGAGTCAACACCTGAACTAAGGATAGGGAGTAAAGTATTCAAACGCGTCGACAACTTCACTTATCCTGGAAGTCTTATCAGTCCTAATGAGTTGGTGTCTGACGAAATCTCTGCACGAATTTAAATAGCTCGTTTAGTTTTTGCCAACTTACGTCACCTATGGCGAATGCGAGATATCCGTCTATCAATAAAAGGACAAGTATGCTGTGCAGCACTTCGTTCGATTCTACTTTTCGACTGCGAAACGTGGCCATCAAGGGTAGAGACTATTCGCAAGTTACTAGTATTTAACCACAAATGTCTTGGAAATATTGCTCGCATCTGCTGGGATCACAAAGTAAGTAATAGTGAGGTTAGATGCATGGTATTAGGGAATGATGGCAAACCAGTTGATGAGGTTGTGGATATTTATCGACTGAGGTGGTTGGGCAACGTATTACGTATGCCCAATCGCCGAATACCACGGCGCTCTATGCTGACTGGTGTTGGAGATGGATGGAAGAAATTTAGGTGTGGCCAAACCAAAACGTGGCATAGTCCATAAAATCACTAACTTCTGGTTTGAGCCATGTTGATAGATGCAAACTACTTGATTGGGGTCCGCGTGACCATCGTAACTAATAGGTGGAGACTGGATGACATGGCTCTGAATCGATCACAATGGTGTTGGTGTATACACTCCCTGTCTTCCCTTAAACCGTGAGACTAAAATTGCTTTGTACACTCTTTGTCCAGTATCCTGAAGGAACAAACGGCGTATGAACCAATTGTTGGCCACCAGTAACCATGGGACTGCATCTCCATACGTTGCTCTACTACCTTGTGGATTAGATCTTTAGGTCAATTTTCGGAATGTGGCCACCTAAGTAAACCACCTTTTTCGGTTTAGGCACCCGGACAGTATCCCAGCCCTCACACAAATCGAATGATTTATGTGGCGCATACCTATTTAGTGCCTCCATGTACCAATGTTTGTGTCTAAATAAATGAATAATTTGTGACAACTTGGACCGATGCATATATGTGCCTGGTCCTACGTTGTAGCTAACTGACTGAAAACTTCAGCACTCTGCATCACTCATATTTTTAAGGTTAGAAAACTCATAAGGCTATGAAGCTCTAGTTTATCAATGTTAAGCTTCAACTTTTAATCAGTAGTCGGAATTATTTAGGTTTCAATCTGCTGATATTTAGCCCACTAAGCAGTATCATCACCATCTTTTATACAACGGATTCGACTCACCGACTAGTGTACAGGAATGTAAGCTTTTAATGAATTTTACTTTTTTATATTTAAAATTATTTATTTACTTCAATTCACTTAAACAATTTGTTGATTTTGGTCAGTCATCAGCTACAACGTAGGACCAGGCACAGTAAGTACTGCTTTTCCGAGAATTTGTGAAAATTGGTAGCTACTTTTTGGGATTTTTATTGTCATAGTACTTATTCAGAGGGAGGGAAGCCACATCAGTTAGACTTTAATCGGCAATCTATTTTGGACGTCCACAGCACTTTTTCACAGAGTTTAAGAGCATGGAGATAATGTCTACTGTGGGTTGAAGACATGTACAAACCTTAATACAAAATACTCCACTGTTGTGCTTAACTGTGACAAATCCTAGTATCACCCCAGCTGCCTGTAATCAAATATTTTATGCATTAATTCTCATGTCAAAAGTTAAGGCGGAGACTGAAATAAATCGAGGTTAGCAAGAGCTAAGTTAATGTACTCAGAACTACATCAAAAACGTTACAATGCACTGATAGATATCTGAGTATAACAACATTCCAAATCACAAGTGTCCGCAAGATTCCACTGAGTGGACGGAGAGCATCGGAATAGTGATAAAATTGATAAAAATGAGTTACAGCATTGTTGTAGATAGTAACAATTATTGAGAATGACAATTTTCTTGGCTTGGCTGGGATAGTACTGAATCAAAATTTTGACGTAAGATCTATAATGAAAACAGTATGTTTAAATATCAAGAAATGATATTAGCCATTGGACGATGATAAACAAAGGTAAATAAAAGGCGTGATGTAGATGTATAAATTATGTTTCTACAGGATTCCTAAAACCCATTTGCGATTAAAGCTAGCTAGAGGAAATTATAGATTAATGTACGAACATTAAAATGCGATTGAATGACATGATAAATACTCCGTTAACCAGAAGTTTGAGATAATATCTAGACAAATATCGAGCAGCTCTTACAACTCCAAAACCAAATAGCAGAGATACATTATATAGCTCAAGAATATTATTCGTACCACCTGCGGTCATCTGAAAAATCGATACAAGTTTTAATTATTATGTACTGCTAAACAGTCCATTTGTGCAGTGTAAATAGTAATGAGCTAAAAAGGACTTACCGAATAGTACCTTGCAACGGATTTTACTTGTTCGTAATCGTTAGCCTTAGCAAGCTGAACAAGCCCCTCAGGGTTAAGTTTTCCGCAGCGAGGATAAAGTTTGGATCTATCTTCGTTTGAGAGTTCTGTTCCGAATGAATTGATTGTTATGATAAACGCCCTTCTGTCAGCTTCAAATGCCAACAACTCACACATCACCTCCGCAGTAATTCCACCCAGTGACTTACAGAAGGCATAAAAATCTTCAATATACGCCTACAGAATTAGGTTGTCGAAAAAGATTAACATACCCTGTACAAAGTGTTACGTATTATCTCTATATTAAGTTCATCTAAGTCTTGCTCCGAAATACAATCAATAAAGAATGGAGCTACAGGAATAAAACCACGATTAGAATGATACCTAGAGGCGTGTCCACGAGTACAGCATTGTATAATTCGGCAGGGTTAGTTGCAATATTCAGGGTTTCCATTTCCAGAAATGTTCCAAGAGGGTGGCATTTAGTCATAAGTTCGGATATCGGTCTTCCATGGAGAGTCCCTGTTATCAGAAGCACGATATTATCAATCATATAGCTGTATGTGATGTAATCCAAGAATAAGATAATGGGTATACAGCTTGGTTGCGTATGTGTCGGAACTCAGACACAAACTTTTCGCGAATTCTTTCTTCAATGATCCCCACAGTCAAAGGTCCAGGTTCATTGGCAAGAAATTCCCCATAGTCAGTATCATGCAGGTGGAGCTTTAGGTCTGATTATAGGGATTAAACTAAAACATAATTGACGAATCCCTACCATCCAATGTTTCACACTGTACTAGCACGTGGTAATCAGCTTGCTTTAGAAGTCCACCCTTAATTCCACGTGCTAGACCTTCTAAATAACCACTATCTGCATTGAAATTCACCAAAGAAATCGGTAGAACCTCCATCATTATGAAGCCGCCAAAACCACAATCCTCAATGACTCCCGTCCTTGAAAAAATTAGGTCACCATTGAAAGTTGGATGAACCGAAAATTATTTTATGGGTAGATTTCAAATATTTCTGTGATGAAATCAACAGTGTCAAAGACCAGTAGGCTATCAACATTCTAGACAATATACAAGTGAATATAGACGTCAAGCAAACGTTTGACGTACATATTTGTATTCAGTCTATTTTATCTAATAGTCCTGTAGCGGTAAATAAATCCTCAAAATAAATAGCTCTGTAAGTTTTCAACATTGGATGCCGACCACATGTCTTAATGGACTCACCTAGCTGATGGCGATCGGTCATGCATCCGCACCAGATCACGTGTGGTAACGCCGTGCTCAACATCAACCGCAACCGCTAGCCAGATTAGATCAGAGAATTCCGATATTTTGGTTATCGCCAAATACACTCTTCCGATCTCCTCGACTCTGTTTTGATTTCTCTCGGTGGGTACAAATCATATTAGAAGGTGTTACTGGTAGAAGCGTTGTCAAACACTGAATACCTGTGTCATTCTTCATTGGTGAGACCGACGTGATCTGGTACACCTAATTGCAAATCATTGGTATGGATCTTCTACAACACCATAATCTGATCATCGACACGCGCAGACGGAGGCTAGTAGACGGAAACACTAATTTATCGGTTTGCGTAACTTCTTCTTCCAGTTGTAGATTATCCCTAGTCACAATGAAGCATAGGATAGACCCACCCTATCAGCCACTACTTGACAAGTACCCTGGGATACAACAAACTCAACCGAAACTACCGTGTGTAAGCAGCAACGTTACACATCGCATCAAGACTACAGGACCACCTATAGTAGGAATAGCAGCTCAGGTAAGCCATCAAAACAACTATTAAAATAAAGTGTTTTGATCCCATCACCTAGCCACTGTAAGCTCCTTATAAATGAGGTTTGTGCTGAAACTGTATGCTACCAAAGATGCTCAAGTAAGTCAACCTTTAGTTTCATAAACATCCGGTTAATAACGTTGCGCAATTTGCTAATAGGTTTCAATGAAAGAAGAGTTGGTTTATATTTACATGATATCGAGCTGATCATAACTACTTTAAACTATAGAATCAAACTCAGGGCCTACTCGCGGAAGTGATGACACCTTTACGCCACGCATTCAGTGTTCACCTGTTGTCATTTCCAAATTCTATCGTGTCGCGAAAAGCACAAAATCATCCCAAATAGTTCTTGAGCAAAGATCCAATTTACTATGCGAACGACCGAGCATAAAACTCTAGACTGTTCGTCCAGAAGCTATTTGCTAAGTGGTCCTATATCAACGAGTACTTCAATGACTCACAGGCAATTTATTACTAATTATTCACAATATAGCTAAAATTCATTGCCTCAGTAACTCAGTACAATCAGTAAATTATAAAAACCTGGAAAACGAGGTCAGCAAGTGCTGAATATGAAAACTTGAAATTGCCAAGCTGCAAAAGTGTGCATCAGGTTCATGAGCTTCGAAGATCTTCTATCACCAAAAAGATGAATATATGCTTTTTTGCAAACGCACAGTGATTAGGTGGGGTAGTTAACTGAGACAAAATCTCGTTCAAATATGAACATCAGAATATGAGCTGATATTTCCGTTCTTCCTTATTTTATGTAGTGGTCATATTTTTCGTTCTTATTATTTGAATGATGGCCAGATCCTATGTGCGTTTGTCAAAGTTCAGTCCACTCCATTTGCTCCCCACTGCGATAAATAAATATTTTATCCAGGTGACCAGATAGATTATCCCACACTTAACGCCTTTTGAGGGCATTTGGACATTCGAGTCGACAAATCAGTAGATACAAAACGTTTCTCATCTTGCAGGTCTCTATCAACCACTGTGGCAATATAAAGACCGTAGATAAACTTCCGAAACAAGTAACCAATATGATCTACAAGGCTCTCAAGGCATAAAAGATTCTGTTAAAATTAATTAAGGTATGGCGCCACGATCAGAATGAAGTACCTCAGTTATTAGTCAAGTAATTAATAATTTCTGAATGGATTATGGAAGTTTTCAATCATCTGCATTATTTATCATGGTTTAGTTAATAACAAAGGAAAGTTGTCAGAAACCCTCCCATTGTAACTTTTATGTTCTCAGTTAACATGATTCGAGTTGTGGGCAGCAAAGTACTTACAATAAGTAAAATATTCATAGAACAAACAGATCTTTATGCATTATACATTGTGGCGGATAATAGGTTTCAACAAACGTTACTTGGTGAAAGGACATCGGCCAGGAATCTTGACCATATTCAAATAAAGCTAAGGTGAAACGCTTCTTCAATAGTCAAAATGGTTAGAAATGCTGTCAAGTGCGGCAAACAAACCCACAGTCGAGAATTCCTCTGGTACCCCTGCATATTAATGCCGACATAACAAGCTCGAAGACATAGAGATTAAAAAGAGCAATCAAAATCTTCTGTTGGTTGAATTCTGTTAACTTATGGAACCTCTATCAAAGTAATTAACAGAGTGGTACAGATGATACTTTTGTCATATCAGAATTCTCACTTTCGTCGTTCATGAATACACCATGGTTGGACAATGCTGCACTATGTGATAGTGCCAGAAATAAAAAACAGATGTTGTTAATTCATTATTACAAACCCTGTGACCACCCAGACTGCTGGCAAAAGTATCCACCACTGTCTCTTCCATCAGTAATCCTTTCAATGTTGGACAACAGACCACTGCAGATGTTATAGTTATTAATAATGCTTCACAAATGGATTGAGTATGATAAAATATTGACCCTAAGGACCGGTTCAACAGCATCAGTCGTTAGACCTGTGTAAACTTACACGACCGATGATTGACATTTTGCCTAAATCTTCCAGTCACCGAGTGAAACTGTCGACGAGTGCAACGTTGAATTACATCTCTTACGATTCTGAGACAACTGAAGAATAATACGAAAGTCAGAGTGAAGTTTTTCAAGCAGAGGTTCTTTATAACGACGCAAAATATCTCCAAACCATAGTACCACAAAGTCTAAAGGCGTCATGTAACACTATAGTTTTCAGAAAATGGGACGGTACGTCGTCACTGTCAGTTTTTGCTGGCAGAAACTGTTGTGAGAGTTATCGACCGCCAAGAATACACCACCTTTATGTTGAAAAAGTTTCGGTTTCCTAACAATACTAATTTAGAAGTAATCGGCGTCTTCTTTATGGTAGAACGGTGGAAAACCGGATCAAGAATGCATGGATAAAATGCCTATGAACCTTGAATAATTGCTTGAAAAAAACACAACTGCTATCCATGAGCTGTAACTGCATCAGCGCGCGATAGGTTACCGAAGCCCTGGGCCAATAAGTGCGAACTTTGAGAGGTCTTGTTTGTTAGTAGATAAAAAGCGACGAATAATATGAAGATGTAAGTCCACCACAGAACGATAAGTCGATTCAATGAATTCAAACAGCCAGGTACGAGGAAGCAAATATTGAAACCACCAAAGAATAATGGCTGAATGAAGTGAATCGCGAAAGCCAGTGAAGTACCGTATAAAAACAAGGAAATAACAATATTATTATTATTCACAAACACCTTATGGGTACATAAGTGTTGTGAAGAAACCATTTCGGGTTTCGTCAAATATGCAATAATACACAGGTTTCAATAATTACAGCCATATTTGAAAAAGAAAGAAATAATAATGATAATGGAATAATAATAATAAATCAGGTTATGGGTAATTGAGAAGAATATTGAATTAACTTCAAAGAAGGAAAGGGACAAAATAATACAATAGAACGTGAGATTGTAGAATTATGATCAACTATGATATTAGTACTGCTCCAATAATAGACCTATAGTGGCATTAGACCATAACCACACAATCTTCAAAGCTGAACACAACACTACTCGGAAAATAGATATTCAATATTTAACACAGAGAAATACCTAACAATGGAGAAGGCGCGAACAATGAATTGAATGGACTGGAGTTGATCGAGTGGCATGGCTCGGCCATGCAGGCCTGGTCTCTGCTGAATGTTACCTTATATCTTCTATTCATATTAAATATATTGTTCCTTCTCTAGCCTAACCTTGTTCTACATCATGTATTGGTAATTGATACGATACAGTGAGTTGGTGTAGTCGATGGTGTGACTTCCACGTAAGATCTTATAGATTAGGCAGTTATATCATGACAAATCTACAAATTTAGGATTAGGTCTATTATTAGAGCAGCACTAATATCATAGTAGACCATAGTTCTACATTGGTGAGCCCAACTAAAGAAACGCAACCTATTACAATAATCCTTATTTCCACTTAACCTTCTCGATCGATTTTATATATATGTTAACCCAGTATTCTAATAGTCCTCTGATTAATGCTCACATGCATTATCGTAATGTTATATTGATTACTTCTCATAACATACTAGGTCAATCGATAGTAAAAACTGGTCGTCAATATTAACTAATTAGCTTTGATGGTTCGTTAACAAGCTTTAATAGCATTTACATGCTTCAGCGACATAGTCTTGTTTAAACATCAAGCTCTAGCAAATATGACCTGTAAATAGCGTAAATATACATTGACTAACAATACAATCAAGGACTAAATAGTTATCTGGATCTAATTCTCAGTGTTCCTTCACTTAACACCTCATCCTGTTTTAAACTATGCACTATCCTGTAATATCTTTTCTTCCGACCACTGCCTGCCTAATTTCATATTCTCGAGTTCCATTGCCAAACAACAAGGATGACACTTCTCCAAAAACATACGGTGAGTTTCAGCTATAAGTTTTCTGCAATCATAAGGTCATTTTAGATGGCTCGTTCAATGGCGACCACACAATTATCTGGATTCATTCATTGTTCTGATCCGAGCGAGTGGCAAAAACGTCAACAGCATCAAGCACCCTGGAATTAATTGCCATACTGCATGTTTTATTCTGGATACTTTTGGATCATTACTACTCCTCACGAATGTCGTTATATATTGTCGTCCACTGAATAATCTAATTTTCAAAAATAATCCAGGCGAGTTCA